GTACCAAGTCAATGGTCCAAAGCTAGAAATCACGAATGCTATGACGAGGACACAGGACTAGGTAAAAAAAACAGGATCAAGCCAACATTTTAAGTAATTAAGCCACAATAAGATTTAGAAATCCATGTTGATAATGCACAAATATGAGTTTTGTAATATTAAAAATAATGCAATATAGACTAAGACATCGAAAAAAATATAAATATAGATAAAGCAAATATAAACTCTGCAAAGGTCAAGTTGTGATTCTACCAGTCATAAAAAGTGGCGCAGCATGCCGTAACCAAATAAAATATCGAGTAACCAAAATTGTCCCAAACTAAATAAGTGAAATATTATTAGATTATTACTATCGGTGACTTGTAGATTTAAAGTATAAGGAAGCTATAAAGAAATACAATCAATGTTAACTAACCCAAATATGATTAAAATAGATGTTACAATACTTACTCGAACATGACCGTATGAGCATGCATTATGCAAGGGAACCAGTCCGCCTTTGTCCTTTGCGTGTACATCTGCGCCAAATTGTAGAAGCAGTTCAACGACAGCTAGTCGATTATAGCCGGCAGCAAAATGTAGAGGGGTCGAGTGACGTCCGTCAATATCACGGCAATTTATCAAATCAAACGAGGCTTGAGGAGAGCTGCCTAAGAGTTTAGCAATAAAACCACCCGAAGGTGCATTCGCTGAAGTGCCAGCACCTATACTGGAGCTGCTACCATCTCCACTAGAGTAGTTGGTTAAACAAATAGACTTTAGGTCGTGTTGGTGTTCTTGATGTGCAGTTATCAGGCGGCGCACCATCTCTAGATCACCAGCTTTGGCTGCCTCGAGCAACTGGAGGACAGCGTCAGCCCAGGAATAACCGGAGATAAAACTATTTTCGTTAACTCGTGGAGGCAAGGAGTTGGCATCTTGGGAAATCATGAAATTGGTTTCTAGGGAAAGGCAAGAGGTTTGGGGTATAGAGACCTGGACACTAGAATTTGCAGACTTAGAAACAGCGACAACATTTGAAAATAGTAGGCCTTGTGAGTTGTCTGCGAAATCTACTGTTACTCGGCCAGATTCCTGGGCCTGTGATGTAGGGACTTCAAGTAATGAAAGATGCTGATGTGAATTCTGCTGAGATTTTGGCTGAGGTGGAAGAATCGGAAGAGGATGAGGA